TACCCTAATTTTTGTAACAATAATATTATTAGCAATATCATGTTAGAGTGTTGGCATTTTGTTTACTGTAAAGTTGTGAGAAGAATGTCTCACCAGTTTGAGATGTGACGGTTAATTAGAGTCAAGCCTGTGCACTTGCATTTTCACAGGGATGTTATGAGTATTTGTCCTTATTTCCAGTTTCCATCACAGAAAACAACAAGGAGGATTCTTATCCCCCCACCTCCTAAATATGTGATGCAGTGAGGTAGTCCATCTATCACAGGTTATCCTCCTGCAGAGTTTACCAAATCATTGAAACATAGATATCATTAAAACTACTGGCCTTCTTGTTCACAGATCTTTCCAATATTCCAAATGCAAGCTCAATCAATGAGGAGCCCCCAAGCCTTGAAGTCAAACCTCTGACACCACGTGACACAACAACAGCTGCACAAGAGAACCGACAAAGCCAAACACCAAAAGACCCTTCTCCAGAGCCCCACCCTTCAACATTAGCATTTCCTTCAGAGGATGAACCAGTGACAATGATTTCTAAATCAATTCCTCCATCTGTAGTGTCAACTTCTTCATCAGCTTCACAAGGCAGAAAGCAAAGACAAGGTGGGTAAATTTAAATTGTTTCATCATCATCATTGCTCTATGTGCCAGTAGGCACATAAGCCTGCAACATCCTGCTTCCGTTGTGCCCTATCCCTGGCTACCGCTCTCGCAATGTTCTAGTTATTCCATCCTGCCTACCATCTCTCTACCTCTACCGTCCTCCTCCACATCTGTTTAGGTGTTCCTATTGCTCTTCTCCCAGGCTCTGGTCTCCACCCTAATGGCACGCTGCAGTCATAGGATCTCTCTTCAAGCCGTATTATATGAAATACAAGTCCAGTGCCATCTTGTTATCTCATCTTCAATTGATTTGTTTCAGTTAAATGTATCTTAAGACTCCAACAGTCATATTACATCCATAAATACATGGTTCATGCAGTTATGGGCATGCAATATCTTCTATTCCTCTTGGTTTCTCAATAATTTTGTCCAATTACTTGGCTTGCAGTTTTTCTGTGTTAGCTTTTGAAGTCTTGACATTTGTCAGTGTTAAATGAAAAACAAGTAACTGTAGATGAAAATTTTCATTCATTAAAGGTACTATTTCACATCTTAATGTTTACTCTTTGCTTTTATGTACAGATTTTGTTGATTCACAAAAGGCTTTGCAAGACAATTCCAGTTTAGAATCAGCTGATATCAGAGAGCCTAAAACTCAAACAAGAGGTCACAGTAC